CAAGTGCACTGATGGAATATAGGAAACAGTCTGTACACTTAACTAGATATGTGCTAACTGTGGACATTTCAGTGTTCTTAACTTGACCAAGTATGTATGCTCGTAATCTGTAATGCTATTTCCTGGAAGTTTCTTTCAATGGTAGAAACTGGATACCCGTAAAATATACTCTTGCCTTTGAATGTTACAAAGCATGTAAGACCAGACATACATGATCAACTTTCTAACTCTGAAATGTGAAACAAATACCCACAGAACAGGCTACAAAATTCCATCTGTTCTCTCACGAAGAACGTACCCGGTGATACGTTATTTGCTGCACCTGCTGCCAAGACAAGGCACACCAGCGAACAATTAAACTCGTGAGTTCATCAAAACATATCTACTTTCAATGAAATCCTCATGCTTTTGAAATTGGGAAATGAAAATGTCAACAGACTCGGAAATGTTTACATGCATTTTCTGAATCGTGGTTTGAACTGAAAAAATGCTAATGAAGTCAATCCTTCCTGTTTGTGGGTAGATGTCAAGCACACAGTTAAACAATGTTGAGAATCAATATGACAATATCCATGGTTAATGGCTACAGTAACTGTTCTATGCAGACAAATGTCCACAGCAAAGATTGGTAACCAAAAATAAGCTTTGCATAATGAACCTTGTCACATAGATCACACTGGTATTTATTAAATTTGCACTTGGTTTTGCATAATCATAACTAACAAATTTTAACTACTAGAAATGAAGGCACAAGATAATTGGACAGATTGAAAACTGAAAAATAGGATGTTTGGGGCCAAATGCCATGTATAGGTGTTGACCATTTGTAAGTCTGTAAATGTTTATAATCATGAATGACCCACACAACAGCAAACAGGCAGGTAACTGTATGGCATAACATCTCGGAACTACAGTCTTCAAATACATTGTCATTTCACCAGTATGTAACAACCCCTGGCTGAACAGAGTGTAGCATGTCTGAGTTATTGTTTCATAACTCATGAGTGAACAAAGTGTAACATATCTTGAGTTATAGCTTCATAACTCCTGGTTGAACAGTTTAACAGCTCTTGAGTTATTGTTTCATAACTCATGGCTTAACAGTGTTTTTAAGAGCTATTGCTTTATAACTCCTGGCTGTAGCTTCATAACGCCTGGCTGAACAGGATGTAACATCTCGAGTTATTGTTTCATAACTCATGGCTTAACGGTGTGTAACATTTGAGAGTTATTGCTTCTAACTCACAGCTGAACATTGTTTAACATTTTGATGACATTGCTTCATAATTCATGTAAGAATTCAGTTATTGCCTCATAACTCATGATTCAACGGATTATGAAAACTGTGCTTGGGTCATATTGCATGATTCAACATGTGATACGATCTCGTGCTGTAACATAGTTTCTGTATGAGAAAAGACAATGTGTTTGAAGGACAAGCATCTAACAAACAGTAATGACAGTAGTAATGTACACCTGTGAAAACATCTCGACTAATCTCAGAATGATACCCAAATCTCAGCCAATGCTCCACAATCCTCACAGATCAGACCCACTGCAACTGCAGGCATTACCAGATGTGTTTACTTTCAAATTTATATTTTTAAAATGTAGACATTCAAAACAATTAAAATTTAATAGAATTCAAACAAATTTCTTTCAAGAATGATAATTTGCCATGATGATAAGATGACTTTTAATAGTAACGGAAGCAGATGACTATACTTCACAGGTGACTAAACCCTGATTTAGATACTTTTCTCTAAAGTTGACTTCTTAACAATGTATACGTAAGTCTGTGGACACCTTGTACCCAGAACACCTGGTGTTAACAGGGTCACAGTTCTATCAAAGAGTTGAGCACCCTGCATCAATGAGTTGTGACTGAAAATCAGATACTGATCGTGTGTTTGCGAGAAGGGGTTCACTCTGAGATTACTCCATGACGTGTAGAGTGTGTTCAGGACACATGCCTACGTCTACCGTCACGTCACAATGAGGTAATCCAACATGAGCACTGTGCTGCTTCATTGGTCCGTCAACATCTGTACAAGTAAACACCAAGAAAAAAGAGCTTGTCGAAAGAGTAGCCAAACTCTTTACGTTGGATAAACTAATCTCTGTATTATCTGGATGTCCAAAATCAGAGGCTAACACTTTGATATCAAGTTGTGAATGACCTCTGTGCTTCTTATCCTTAGTAAAGTTTGTATCAATTCATTCACAAGGATGAGAACGAGGCCTTTGCTGATTTTCGACCAATTTGTACACCATCTTTGTACATCGATCTGATCATTTTGATGGTAATATCATTCAAACTTGAGATCCTTTATCACTACTGCTAATACAGGGACAGTCAAAGAATATTGTTAATAAAAAAACACTTTTATTGACTTTGAAATTCTTATCCATAAAAGTAGATTCTTGTCACAGGTTGACGTCATTCGTTTGATATTGGGAGGGATGGCTTGTAGCTTTGATGGCTGACTACCCAGTATAAAACATTTCTGATCATTAACGTTTGATTTCTGATCATTAACGTTTGATTTCTGATCATTTATGTTTGATTTAAGGTTGAACTGTCGTATAATCTTCTACTTTTTGACTGTAACATTTTTAGCAATAAATGACTGATTACTTTTGATATTTCGTCAAACCATTACACTAATGTCAGCCTAGGAGATCAAGGGTTAGTCAAGTATGATGTTTCATGGACAAGAACCTCTTTCAAGATGACATACATAGAAATATACAATACGCATCCAAAAATAGTTTGATCTTATCATTAACGATATATCCGACGTTAACCTTACACATGTTCCCTTGTTGAAACAAAGTGTACAGAAAGATGAATCCTATTGACTTATCCACGAGAAGTCGCGGGAGTTTATTATGCAAGGACAAGGTGATAGCCTATCATACGGATCGCTACTACAAAAAGTGTCTATCTGCATCGGCGGACGCATGACGCATCCTTTTCATCCTGTTTGTTCTTTCCTAGACAACAGATGTTACAGAGAATGAGGTGTCTTCAAAAATATGTACACAGAATATGTGGGGTCTCTACAGTTGGGGATTAAAACTGGCCGTTGTAACAAAAAAATAATAAAATTCATAACAAATTTCAACTAATTACATCCTGTAGTGACTTGGCCCTGGCATGATCCAAATATGACTTGAGTGTTAATGATAGGAGCTAGGAAATGTTAAGCAATATCACAGATGTTTTGAATAAATTACAGGAGATACATAATTCTTGATGGAAAAACGAATATCACTGATAAAATAGTCTTAAATAAATTTCAAACCCCCTACCATTAATACAAAAATGAATTTGTCTGTACAATTTTCATTATGAACATTGAACATGGATGCCTAAGGCTTTATGCAACTGGTTTGGTGTCAATTCATTCTGGAACCATTGTGTTCCTGCTAATATGATTCAAAGAAACAATCCCATTTTCTGCAACTGAAACTGGTTCTTTAAACTAGATCCGGATTGGCTTTTCAGTGGTGTAATCTAATGAGCTACAGAAATAGGTCATTAATTTTTACTGGTCAAACAAGGAAAAGAAAGATAAAAATCTGTATATATCGAAAACGGATGTAAAATAAGTCTGTAGAAATTTGACCACTAAAAACTAATCCTTTGTCCCACATGAGGAAGACCACGAACATCATCAATGACAGGTAAAACACGATTCTGTACAAAACTACCATGAACAGGTGAAAAGCCTTCAGTTAACACCACCAAGATAACATTAAAATCTAAAAACGACATTCCAAAAACTGTCATTAGTTTCTGTTTGTCTCCTAAAAGTCTAAAACACAGACACATGGATTCAGGTCAACAAACACCACATTGACGTTCTCACGCTAACAACCACCAAATAACAGATCACCATAGAAACGCATGAAACTACGTCTGTACATCATCAATGACATGGCGTCAGAAAACCTGATGCCCAAAATTCAAAAACAAAAGTAAAAAAGCATCACTAAATCTACATACAACATCAGCTTTTACCACAGGACCCAGGGATATAAACGGCAGATCTTGTTTCCATGGAAGCACAGTTTAGCACTTCATGAAAGTATACTGAACTAAAAAGTTAGGGATCATTAAAAAAATTATGTTTGGGGATAATGTTTTCGTGAAGAATTAGCACACAATTTCATAAAATTATCCCCACATTTTCACGATCCCTAACTGTTTTTGTTTAGCATATATGTGATACAGGAGCGGGATACCTGAGGTGTTTTAATTTCATCACAACAGTAGTGGATGCTGTTATCAATATTGTTCATGTATTGCTAGCCTTGTACTAAGGGCTGAGACGAGTTCAAATTTACTACCCAGGTACCCACCCCACTATTACCCGACCCTACTCGGGCACCTGCTGATGGTCTCAAGAGATAGGTACAAATGTCCGATTGGGAATAGTTTGACCATAGCCCTGGCAAAATGTATTTAGAAACTCAAATAAAACGATCTGGTTATGCATACACTGAAGTTGACTGAAGTTTTATCTCTATTCAAAGAAATAAAGTCGGAAAGAATGCGTGTGTAGCGGCCATAAAATTTCCGAGTCCCGTGATGGGATTCGAACCACGGACCTTCTGATCAGAGGTCGGACGCCTTGTCCACATGACCAAAGAGGTTAACCCCGTCAGCAAGCTGACAAGGTAAGGATGTCATCTGTGGGATGACCCCATGCCCTGCTACATACTACCCCGTCAACAGAAGGAACGTCCCGGGCCGCATAGTAGGGTACTGAGGCTTATTTTGCTCAAATTTAATATGAACGTGCTCAGCCCCACGTTGGGCGCCAATGTAGCGGCCATAAAATTTCCGAGTCCCGTGATGGGATTCGAACCACGGACCTTCTGATCAGAGGTCGGACGCCTTGTCCACATGACCAAAGAGGTTAACCCCGTCAGCAAGCTGACAAGGTAAGGATGTCATCTGTGGGATGACTCCACGCCCTGCTACACGTGCATAGTCAGAAAGAAATGCGAACATTAGTCACTTATTGCCAAACCGTGGAAGTTCTAGATAATTTTTGTTATTAAACAATATATCACGTGACTAACCATGGGTCCTACTCAGGAACCACCTGACCCAAGTACCCGAGCTACCCGTCCCAGCCCTACCTTGTACTTGGTGATGAAAAAATTGTAATATTCTCTGGTTCTACATTACAGAGACTATGTACAAACCGCCATTTACATCCCTGGTGTGTCGCGAGGAAGCCATCAAAATCTAACATCTAACATGAAAATATACAACTGGAAAAATTCATGTTGATTCTAGCTCAATAATCATGAATAACAGTGAATAAAGTCACCATTCTGACTGTGCACTGGCCTCTGCATTCACAGACCGACATACAAAATAGAAAGTGCACCTCCTAGTGTATAGGTGTAAAAATATCCCTCAAATTTGGCAAAATAAACAACGATAAACAGTAAAGTTCATTTGACTACAATCCCCCTTCATGAAAAGTCTACAATTAGCCAAATAGTCAGAAGTATAATCTCAGTCCTCAAAAGAAACGTACACATAAATCAAAGATACTTTATGAAAAGATCAACATTTGTATTCTACATGGCAAAAAACATACGAAAAATCTATACATTAAAACTTGAACTAGAATCAGGACTTAAAACATATCTTTTTACAAGTCAAAAGTTCATTTGGTCACAGTTATGATGAAACTTGCTCTCAACAAAAAGAAAAATCAAAAATATTCTGGCATAAAACCTCTCACTCCCGCAGTCAAAAAATGGGAATTTGCAAAATGGTAAAAAATAGTCCGTGTCAGTAGTCCATCATGGCAATGGAGAAGTCACACATCCCTGTCACAACATGGCTGCCAGTTGCCATTAGAAACGTCTGTGGAACGCACTTACACACATGTGCTGTTAGCACAACAGACCTGAAAAGTAAAAGAAATCTCATTGAAAATTGTAAAATAGTCCAAGAGGTTTAAGGTAAGTGAGCAATTTATGGTTCACGGTCTATTTCAGGAAGATAATCATGGGTAGAGAATAACCAACTAGAATGAAATGCCCAATGGTTTGGCGGTGGTACCTCTGTAATCTACACCCTACTGCTGACTCTGAACTCGAGGGGGCAGGGGTGGCCCAGTCGTCGCAATTCTCTGTGCAGAGTTGCATCCCTTGGGCACGCCAGAAACCTATGATTGTGGGTTCGAATACCAGTTCGCCCCGATTATGTTTCTAGGTTTGTCAGATCCATACCCGTGCTTGTAGGTTTCACCGAAGTGGTAAACGTCTGAGACCTGCATCACTTCAGGCTTTCCTCCTACACTAAGCTGACACGCCAAGATATAACTGGAATACAGCGTTGTTAAACTCAACTCATTCACTCACTCTGAATCTGAATTGTTTTTACCAGATCCTGTCAAAGGGACACAACTCTATCTAAAACTTGAAGCAAGTGTTACTTTCATATCAACATATCAAACTATTTAATGTCACAATACCTGGAAATTGACAATCACACCTTGTCCCAATACAAAATGCCTGATATTTTCTTCTATTGTCACTTTCAAAAGGTAGAGAGGCTAGAATGGACCAGCTGCAGAGACATCCAAACAGAGTTGTGTCCCTTATATGTGAGCAAGGCTCATCTCATTATGGGTTCAAATCCCAGATCCGCCTTATTATAATGTTCACTTGTTACCCGTGATTGTGGATTTCACCCATTTGGTAAACGTCTAAGACCTGCATCACTTTGGGCTTTCCTCCCACATTTAACGAATACTCCGGCACACAACAGAACTATTGTTGAAAGCAGCATCAACCACAACTCACTCACTCACTCTATTTGGCAGCGGCAGCAGCATAGGCTTGAAAGTGATGCTGGGCAGTTTCTTCATTCGAATTATGATCCTGGAACAAACCAATGATGATTATGGTACCGCCAAGTGAATTTCATAACTTTTATACAGAAAATACAAGCCAGGTTTCTTTACATATTCTAGACTTGACAATGTCTGGATTGATCATATTCTTTACATATTCTGGACTTGACACAGTCAGTATTGATCAGGTTCTTTACATATTCTTGACATTACAGCTATAGCATTGTTCAGGGTACATATTGTGGACCAATCACTGACCTCCATGGGGAGTGTTGTCAACATGGCCCCTGTCTGAGACCCCTGTTGGTAAGCCAACTGGGCATAGGGGCTGGCGACATACTGAAATAACAAACAGATCCATCATTAACACTCTGCAATAGTTCAACAAAAAACATACTGCTCATATTATTCATAATAGACTCACTTCATAATTGTCTTCATCAAAATTTACATATTTATGCTTGAAATCATTAAACTACTTACTGATTTAAACTACTAGACTAAGAGTGTTAAACAGACTATGCTTGCTTTCTAGCAATTAATATTAATTCTGCTCTGCTACCTAAAACTCTACTATTAAGTAGTTGTATTAATTCAAAGGGCTTATGATGAAAACATTTGACCATTATTCAACAGTCCATGATTTATAGACAGATGCAAGTGAATCTTACTGAAATATACGTACAATTATGGCACAAATATATGTACATTGGACATGGTAAAAGGGTGAATATTTGGATACATGATATGGTTATATGTAAAGATAAAACAAATATGGTTACAAAGCAAAGTCAAAGGGTAGATAACTCTCACCAAGATGAATCCCCATCCCTTTAACAAAGATTATCAAGGAAAGCACCACAATGCACTACCATTAAATGTTAACACTACAAATAGCAAACTCTCTGAGCATATTATCTCTATTGTTAATAAGACTGATTATAAGTATTTTCTTTCAGTTGAAACATTCATTTGGTACATTACATATATGTTTACATTAAATACACAAACTTCGCATAAGCAGTTGGAAGTTATCTCCCCTGCATCAAAAAAGCAGGAGTTAACTCCCCTCTGCAAAAAGCAGCTGGAGTTACCTCCTCCTGCAGTAAGCAAGCGGGAGTTATCCCCCCTTCACCAGTTTCACATCTAAGCATAATATGTTTGTATATATATAAATAGAGGGTACAAGATGCAATCTACAAAAAATACAGAACCAAAGCTGGAGCAAACAAAAGATACATATGGTACAGATATGTTAGTATAAGCACTGAACAGATAATAACATGCAGACTAAATCAAGATATATGTATGTATCATGCACAGATATATATGAGGGTGGTTATATATGGTGCTGCTTGCCCACTGCTGTCTGAAGTCTGGCGGTCTGCACTGGTCATGACGCTTGTGATGTCTTGACTCCGACTAGGATGGAATTTGCTTCTTTCGAAATCCTCTCATGATTACATCAACAGTGGCTTCATATTCAATTTCGCCTTCATCATTTAGAAGAGGCTATGTCATCCATACACATTCATTTTGATTGTTGTTTGGTAAAGTACCTAGCTGCCCTAGTCAGTATGCATTACAGTCCAGAATAACATTACATCATGAAAGTGAATGTTTGAACATTGCAAGGGAGCAACCATTTACTATTCAGGGTGAAGGTGCCAGGATTTTTTCCCAAAAAATAATCTGGTTTACTTAATTTTAGTGAAAAAAATAATCTGCCTTCGCCTGTGACCTCACCATCCTGAATAGAAGACAATATTAAAGTGTGTTCAATTTGAAAAAAAACAACTTAATACTTGTTTATGTAAGAAAAGACAATTGAGCTCTTGAACATTAAAAAAAGAAAATTGCTAATTTCAAACCAAAATCAAATGGCTGGTCCCTAATGTAACATTACTCATGCAAGCATATGTTCATGTCAAATGACAGCTGGTATGTATTTTCAGGAATACAATTTAACACGCATCTGCTAATGCTGCCTAATGTTTGGGTTTCATGGGACCTTGAGGAATCTAATATCATTTTTGTTTATTCTTGAATGTCATCACAATTCAGGTTAAATGACTTTCCAGGTAAAATTCTCTGCCAATTATAAAGCAGCCTTGACTCTTCCCTATGACTAGTGTTAACTGAAGGATGTCACATCCCGGTGATCTTAATGCTAATACAATCATAGGTCCCACTATTTTAACACTGACCAACAACTATCATGTCTCTAATATATATCTGTGAGACAGGGCGCTGATCATGTTAACATTGTCACCAACACCTGGTGTCGTCATTTCAAGATTACAAGTTTCAAGTTGTTTTAATGATCTTGGCACTTTCACTAATGTTACTAAAAGGGCCCCTTGCACAGTGATCTTAGCATTAAGACAGTGGTAGTTCCCAGGCTTAAAAACATTGACAGTTTGGTTTGTGGAATGAGCCCTGGTGTTACGAACACCTGGTGTCGTCATTTCAAGATTACAATGTTCCAAGTAGTTTTCTGTCACTTTCATTCTGTCTGAGATGGGATTACTGCAGTCTAAACTATGAAGTTTGAATTTGACTTGGATGAAGCCTTAACGTGTCTGAATCAAGTCTCAAAACTACATCTCAAGTTCTAAAATAACATGGTTGGTGTTTGTTGAGTTTGTTTATTTGTTATTTTGCAATATCAAAACCAACTTAACAAATGTATAAAGATGATGCGTGTCTGCAGAACCCCCCAAATGTATTTCTCACAAAGATGGAGGATAGTGAACAAGGCTAGTTGTGCTGGATCAGGTCCATTGGTGTTAGGAAAAAACAAACACAGAGTATTTTCTAGCTCATTTATTCTCTGCCCATATAAGGAGATTCACAAATGGACTCTCCGTCATGGACATCAGAACACTACAAACATAATGATTGAAGAAAACATAGACTCTCTCTCTCTCATACACACAAACAACACTGGAACCTTATAACAGTCATGGGGAAAACGGTACATTAGTAGCAATCACACATGTTAACACAGGAAGTGCCCTGGCAGCCATATTGGGTCATGAAAAAATCATTAAAATAAAAAAGAGAGTAAATATCTGTTCCCAGTACCAAGGTTATATAGACTAATCAGCTACATATATTTTTCTTCTTTTTTTTCAAATTATTTTTTTCATCCCACAAATTGGTCAGCTAATTCTATATGCTCTTGATTATATGCCCCAACCACCGTCAAGCAAATTGAAACACTACTTGTCAAACTTGAGAAACAAATATAAAACTACAAAGTGACAATGGTTAATGAGGAAGTGGAGGAACTGTTGGAATGTATGCCTCTACCCTATACCTCTCCTTGCCCATTCTTCAACCTTCCTACATTCTTAAAGGAGGACTCCCATCTTGGATCATAGCTGGGTAACAAGGCCCGTATCAACTGGGTCTAACTACTTTGTCATGGTGGTTCTGAATATGCTATTTCACTTAGCTTCTAAATATCAAGAATCCCTTTAAGGAGACACCTTAAAAACACACTTAATGGTATTTTTTATTAAAATCTAAAACAAAATGTTTTATTTGAAATGTTTTAGTATATAACGAAAATGTTTTATTTGAAAGCAGCTCTTGTGCACAATAAACATTTCCAGTGATATATCCAGTAAGGAGCTACACATATGTCCCCTTCAGAAAGCCTTTAACAGTATCTGAATGCGAAAAGAGACACATAGGCAACATCAAAGAGTAGCTGGTCCCGTGTAAATCTTTGGATAATCGGATTAATATGGCAAGTCAAACCAAGTAATATGTGGGGTTGGGAAGATATCATAGTGTTTTTTCAAACTTCTAGCATACACATCAAAGCCTGATAAAGTGAGATATATTGTAGTATTTGATTCTGTTTAAATCTGTAAGTACATTCATGGATGGGGTTTGGTAAAATAGCATGACTATGCCCTATACCTAAAATACTGTTTCATTTGTTATGCTCATAATGTATTGTTTCCCTGGATGAAAGTGTGATATGCTGATCAGGTTCTATTCCACAGATCGTGATAAATTAACATCAGAAACTGGTTTTATCAATGTGATCTATCCAAAGATGAATGGGAGGTAACTCTCACTTTAAGACATAATTCCGTCCAGAGTAGTGTCCCCTGTACATGCAAAACATAATGACATGATAGCTATTTACATATGCAAATTATATTGGTAAAATAAGTGAATCTCACGGTAAAAAACATCAAAAATGCTTGCTCAGCACAAATAACCTGATATTGTTATAACTACTTGTGTAAAAACTGTAAAACTCCACAGAAATAAACAGAAAGTCAACATTAAAATAGTTGAAAAATATCAAATTCTAAAAAATGACAAAATATTATGTTTGAATTCTGAATTCATCTCAGGCGTAGTGCTGTTCACGTACGCAGTAAAAGAATTATTGCTATAGATTTATGCAAAACAATAATTATACTAAATACATAATTTTATATTTGATAACATTGTACACAATTTTCTTATCACAAGATTCATATATAACATTTTCAAAACAACTGATTATTCAATAAACTGGTTTACAACTAGCTTCCTTCTCATGCTACACACTGATTTCTCTGAGATTCAAATACTGGTCCATTGAAAACAGGTTGAACTTACTTCAACAAAAACATGTTCATCTAACAATCTGGTTTCCTTAAGAATGCTTGTTTCTCAAATGAAAACTTGCTCCTCACTTCACCAAACACACTTCATCTAACAATCTGTTTTCAAGTGAATACTCTCAACTCAAAATCACCATGCATCACTATGCAATTTTGTTGAGTTAAGATTGGTTTTTGGTTGGTTTGTTGTTTTATGCCGCACTCAGCAATATTCCAGCTATATGACGGCGGTCTGTAAATAATCGAGTCTGGACCAGACAATCAATTGATTGATATCATGAGCATCGATCCACGCAATTGGGATCGATGACATGCATATACCAAGTCATCGAGCCTGACCACCCGATCCCGTTAGTCGCCTTTTACGACAAGCATATTCTACCCCTGTTGAGTTAAGAAACCATTTGCTTCTACAGTCCTCATCCGTACTAAGTTCCCTTTTCTGCAGTGTCTGGATAATAAGGAAACGCTGTAAACCAGTGTAGGAACAATCTTCAGAGGTATAACCATACAGGCATGATCCATTCAATCAAAGCACTTCACCCTAGTATAACAGATCTGTAGAAATAGTTCTCCAAAATAAAATCTTATTTTTTCTCACGTGACTAGAAATTGGCCAAATACATGCTACCTGAAAGAGTACATATGGCTAAGAAGGGGAATATACTAAAAATGATTATGAATATTTGATCATTCGTTTCCAATGCATTAATATCAAATGTAGATGTCAAAAAAAGCAAAATGGTTGTGATTGACTGACATCTTGAAAACATGCGTATGAAATGCCTGGATTCAAGGTTCTCTCATGGTAGTGCAGGTAACAACACATGTATAGTGACGTGTAATCATAGATAGATTAACCTCATGGATTTTCTTGTCGGAAACTGTAATGCTGCATATTCAATGCTGAAATAATTTAATTTATAGACTTTCAAGACCATTGCAATTTCAGTCTGCATGGTTGGATGGCAATATAGCCTTGTCTAATTTTAAGAAAATCTAGAAATTAATTCATTTGAAGCTTGTGAGGTTGTAAATACAAATTTGGTTAAATAGCACCATGATGTAGTATAGAGTTTACACTTGCTTCCCATGAGTCTACAGTCCTGCTGGGTAATGCGAGAGGAAGGACACTACCAGGTCTGATGGTGATTCTGATCTTTCTCCTCACAAATCTTTCATTATGCAAAATATTAAAGGGGAAAATTGAAATGGCACCCAAAGTCACTATACTTAAAGGCATCTGTTTCGGTGAAATTTTAAGTGGGATGCTTTCCAAATTTACTCTTTTTGTTACAAGATGTGAACACAAACAATCAGGACTATGATATATACTGCTGGAAAAAAATAAGGGACACAATAAAATCCATGAGTGTGATATGGATCATAATGGATCTGGGATTCAAACCCATAACCAGCAGATCCTGGCATGCTAAGGACCACAACTCTGCATGGAGAATTGCTCACTTTAGAATAAACAGGATACTTTCAAAATACGTGTTTCATTTCACCCAAAGAAGGAAAATATATCCAAGATCATGTCATTTCGAAGAAACATCTTAATCCTTCCCTCCTTCCTTCTGTTCCCTTATTTCTTTCCTTCAGTATATTATCAATTCTCCTTTTATTCATTCTGTCATTCCCTTATACAGAAGTACTCTACATAATTCTACCCTGATAAGTGTTTTAACACTCAATTACAGGTATGAATGAGTTTTGATTTTCACTATGACATTTGATCATTTTTCAGATGTGTTGCTTTAGTTCTACCACTGCCATGGCAGGAACTGAGGTACAGCATGTTACACACAGTATAGTATGGACAACACTGGCTTATAACTGTCTTGATAATTATAGTACTTTAAACAGTATAGAAACAGCACCATGTCTTATGACAACATAGGATATACACTTTGAAAAAATAAAAACAATGCTATGGGATTTTTTGTACAAGTTATTATATATGGTTCCTTATTCAAAATAGATCTTTCTGTACATAGTGTATAGCGGAAAATCATTCCAGTATATCACTTCAGTTGGAGGCAATTTCTGTTGGCAACGGAAACTGAATCATAGCAACCATTTACAAATTAGTTATCTAAGACGTTTTTCAAAATCTAATAATCATCGTACTTCACATTAAAGAAGTCCTAATAAGTCATTTCAATAGATGACATTTTTTAATGAGAAAATCAGTTGCACGGGACATGAAGTAATAAACTGAAATGAACTTCTGATTTACTTAATTTCTTAGATATGTTCTATATTTCAATAAATATACATTTGTAAACAGCCTTCTTACTATCTACATAAAACTAATATTTTTATAGTTTCAAAACTTAAAATTCAAAAGTCATAAACAAAATAATAACCCATAAATAGAATTGTAAGTTATTACTTAATTTCAAATAAATAGAATAAATATTAAAATATCTGTTCTCAACTTGATAATCAGTGCCAATCACCAAAATGTAGCTTTGTCGTAGTGATTGAATACAACAGATCATGTGTGATGATGCTTGTCGACACTAACATGTCACATCATTGGGAAAAAAATCTGATATGATTCACTAAAATGATTGAATAGAAATCAAAATATCTATGAAGATTGATTGATGTGGTTACCATGGTTACTGTAGCTTGTGTTATGTACAAACTAAAGGGAACTGCGACCTTCAATCGTACAAGGTCAGTCTTTGGTTGTAGTGATCATAATGATGAAAGATGTCAAGAGGTGAAATAAAACAACATGACCATTCATTAGTACATTTCTCTGGCAAGGTGGGGACCATATCAAAATCGGTTCACTCTTTATTGAATATGCCCGCAAGGCACAGGGCAATCGTCAATATATTACAACTTTAGCTTTCAAGCATTAAAAACTGCTGCCAGTTTCATGTTCAAATTAGATATAAAAAATTCACTGAGTGTCAGATTTTCAGATGGTCCATTTCGATTTGAATCTACAAAGACAATGAAAACACAAAATAGTCAGCTATGCTAATTCCTTTCGACAAGGTTACAAAACACACAAACAATATGCAAAAAATCAGACACCAAATCTGTATATACAACAATGAAAAACATTATAACTAGAGCCATTTCTTCTACAAAACATCATGCTAAAATACTAAAAAAAAGTTGCAATGACTACTCATTAAGAACAAAGAAGATCTTCTCAGAGGTCTCTTCTGATATTCCGCTCTACTACGACAGAAACAATCTAAGATAACAAAGACAAGCAGAGGTAAAGTATTTACACGAAGTCTGTCATTTCTGTCAGTAAGAATGATGGGTGTTCATGCTAGGCTACAGCCAACTACGTCTGGAGGACAACCAGAGGCCGAACTGGTCGTGTTAGCGTGGAAGAAGATCGGCTAGAGCCAACTACGTTTGGAGGACAACCAGACGCCGAATTGGTCGTGTTAGCGTGGAAGAAGATCAACCCAAGAATCAAATGACCGTGCATTGAAGAAGTTGATCTAGGGTCTGGCCAACTACAGTAAGATTTTAACAATTCACACAGTGTCAAGAAGAAACGATCTCTACGAAGAGAAACGGGATTAATTTAGACTTTCAAGGGGGACTTGCCTACTATCTAGAAGAATGCACATTGGTAAGAGCAAGATTTTTGTCAATGATGTTAATCTTAGAGGATTGCTCTGGAAGCCAATTGGTTAGACACAAGAAACTTACAACGCGCTATGTTGGCCTACCGGGGTATTGGAAATGTGGAGATGACCCATCAAATTGGTCATGCCAGCCACGGCCGCAGAGGGATCAAAACTCGAGCACTGTGGATTTAAGTTGCTAGCCGTGGGGGCGTTCATCTGAGAAGAAACATCCTCTGTATGGAATCATGAACTCAAGTGATGTTAAACACCTCGTGCTGAAAAAACACCTCACCACAGATATCTTAAAAAGTCTAAAACATGAGACGTTACTTGTGAAGGAGTCGGTGCAAACATGGATAAATCCTGACTTGCAGTGATAGCGAAACAAAACCTAGATGTATTCAGGGTGAATTATTCAGCATGATCTTAAAACTATGAACCCATATTTCACATCTAGACACTGCAAACAGATGACAATATGCAGAACAGAAGATTTTGTTGGCAACATATAATCAACTGTAAAAGAAACCGACACATCAATCACATTTGAACAACTGTATCATTAATCAAAAATAACAAAAAACATCAATAAAGGAATTATAACAGAAGAAAAATACATATATACAAGAACATCTGAGATGGCAAAAACCTGACCAATGGCCAAATCACACAGCACGGTGTGTCAGAGTGATCTCCCTTGAAGGTCTTCGTCTTGGTGAGTTATCTCCCCTTTGCTAGCATAGCATTCAACTTGAAAAATCAAAACTTACATGAGGCAACTGCGGTTGCATGATATACTGTGGATGCATTCCCCAAGTGGCGGGATTGGACGACACCTGATAGGTAGTCACTGGGGTCGTTGCCACCGATGTGTAGTTACGGGGCACGAGTCCGGTAGGCAGCAGCGCCGCTGGTGTGGCTACACTGTAAGGCATATATTGACTGTACATCTATAAGTATGCTCCTTAATTGTGTCGACACAACTCTACTGAAGTTGTACCTGATTTTCAGTTTGAATTTTTGTGTGTTCCTGATGTTATTTTGGGGGCTTTGGTGGTTAAATGTAGCTTTAACATTAGTCGTCTTGTTATTGTCATAATGTTGCTTATTTAAAAATATGAAGGTACATATTCTCCTTATTAGCTGACAGTTTATTCTAGCAACATGTGATTATTGAATTACATAAATAACATAATAAAAATTTGAACTCAACAAAATAGAAGCATTCCTTCATTGGGTAATCCAAAAGACAAATCAAGACTTTGTATTACAGTGTGACAAGTCAAAATTGTGTTGGCCCCAAAAGGTTTACTGATTAAACAAATGCAATTAATATAAAATCTTTCTGGGAGTGTGTTAACATCAATACTTACCCATGGTTCAGATTTGTTGGAATTGCTTGCTGGTCATAACTGAACTGTAACTAAAACAAATGGAAAGATATATAACAAAGGTCAACGCTGCCCCGCTATTCAGCATTCAAAAATACTAAGTACAGTAACGTTAATGCTTTTCAGGAAAAAACATTGTAACTGAATATTTTCAATATTTTCTATTTGACATTAACACAGGGCAGTGACAGGATGTAGTATTTAAATCATAGTTATCTCCCTTGGACCATGTTGAGTGGAGATTGAATGAAACACCTTAAAATCTTGGCATGATTCTAACTGAATTTATCTATGGTTGTACTCACTTGAAGGCCTAGCTCCTGCAAACAAAAGGAACGTAGAGTTTTAGTTCTTTGTTGTAATATAGCAAAACCTTTAAAAAAAGACGTGTAATAATTTCATGAGTGAAAATAGAATATTTTACAATGTCTGCTCAAATGTTAAAGTCACTATGACAGAAACACTTTTAACTTTGAGAATTAGAATAGAAATGTATAGTCCATGGATGGATGATGCAAATTATCGATCAACTTAAATCTGGTCAGTAGTTGTACTTACGTCTTCTCTCCCCGGAGGAAATAATCTGCCCTGCTGGAACTGATTCTTCTTCTTACTGCCACTGTCTGCCAGCTTCACCAACAACGCTTCTGTACAACCTGAAACACAAACATGGTCGTCACATGGCAGCCATTATTTTCACTGTAATGCCAACTCGATCACCTTATTCAATCACTGCATTGCCAACTCGATCACCATATTCAATCACTGCATTGCCAACTCGATCACCTTATTCAATCACTGCATTGCCAACTCGATCACCTTATTCAATCACTGCATTGCCAACTCGATCACCTTATTCAATCACTGCATTGCCAACTCGATCACCTTATTCAATCACTGCATTGCCAACTCGATCACCTTATTCAATCACTGCATTGCCAACTCGATCACCATATTCAATCACTGCATTGCCAACTCGATCACCTTATTCAATCACTGCATTGCCAACTCGATCACCTTATTCAATCACTGCATTGCCAACTGGATCACCTTATTCAATCACTGCATCCACTCACTGAGGTCCATGGGCCTTATTCCACAAAGCAACCTCAGTGCTACGACTATCGTAACTCCTTTTCTTTAACACAGACTGATGATAGTCATATCGATAAGTTTGTTGTGTGAAACAAGACCTGTTCCACAAAGTATTCTTAGTGTTAAACGACCTTGAGTCTATGTTTAGATCATCATAGTCTTGAGCTGACATGATTTGATATAACTGAATCTGGTAAAAAGCTTTATCACACCCCAACTATAAAGGTCCCCAGCGAGAGGCAGATCAGGCTCAGTTGACTGCATGTCATCATGTCCCAATTTTGATCGATGCTCATGATGCCAATCACTGGATTATCTGGTCCAGACTTGATTTACAGACTGCCATCGTATATTTAGAATATTGCTGAGTGTGGCGTTCAACAATGAAAAAACACTCATTTCACATCAAAGATCAAATGGCGATATAAATGATATATTTGCCTTCAGTTATCTTATTGTCTTGATGTAATAGTAAAACTGTTAAATGCGGCATTAAACCCAAAGCACTAGCTCACTCAGTTATTTTTTTCTTTAGCTAAATGTTTCATGATGATGAAACACCGACTTTGATCTTTTCATTCACGAATAATAGTCAGTTATAGCCAATTGTGATATTTCAAAGTACAGCACCATTCTGTACAGGTGTGCCATTATACTAGAGCACCTGACACAGCTCTGCACCCTGGCTGACTCCCTCATTTAAGACAAATATTTAACGCGTGTGATAAAAATTCCTCAACTAAATGTTATGATCATCAAATTCATTAGAAAAAAACCAACACAACCACTTGGTTGTGAAAAAACGCGACACCCTGCTTATAAAACCTAAGGCTGCCATTCCGAGGACACGAATTACTCTTGTACAAAGCATGTCGCCCGAATTTCAATAAGCTTATGATATCGGAGCAGTGCGTTATTCACGGTCTGTGGTCCTCTACAATAGCGTTCAGTTGAATGAGAGGCAGAGAGATATTCAAATAAGTTCAACACTTGTAACGACAAAGAAGCGATATAATCCTTGGTGTGCCCTCTGCATACATGAATTGTTCGCTTGTAGTCGTCTCCTGCACGTGAATGCTTCAACGACCACAACAGTATAGTCAGTGCACTGCCATTACAAGGGTATGTGTAGATGGGTCCGACCTTGCCATCAATACAACCGTGTACAAGATTAAAAGACCTTCCTAACCAAAGGGCCACTCTGTGACTTCTTACTAATCTGTAGTTGGTATGGAGGTTGTCAATTACTATGTTTTATGTATGGACATGTTTGAACTATGCTACTCCCTCGTCCATTGATAGCAGCTCTCATCGACTTGACAATGTTCCTAAACCATACTTACCTCAATGTACATTTATTTGCTCATGCTGAATTTAAATCAGTTCTTGTGTATCAAAATCAAATTTTGGCACACATGGTATTGATTCTTTTCATATAGATCTATGGTGATCTATTCAGTAGGCAGAAATAAAATGCTCTTGTTAATGGAAAGTCACAACTCTATACTTCCATAAATCAATTTGACTAGAGATGAAATCTTCGAAGAGTTTTACAAGCATTGAAGAGACCCGTCTTACTTGCCCCAAATGGTTAGGCTTAAAGGTTACTATGTTTTAGTTGTGTTTGTTCAAGAAATCAATTTAATAAGTCTCTTATAATTAGAAGCTGTTCTCATTCAGACAGATCTGAATAAGTGAGAGTAAGTGAGGTTTTACATCGCTTTTTATTTTTACCCATACAAGGAATAGAACCCAGGTCTGAGGAGTGACAAGCCAGTGCTTTAACCACTCGGCTACCCAACAGCCCCTTGAATATGTGGCTGAAAGCACACATACACATAAAATCGAAACCTTGACATATTACCATTCAAATCAACCGATCTATTGTTTTTGAATCTTACTCTTATAATTATAGGATCTATTTATTTATATATCCTTAACAGATACCTTTCTTACCTGGTAAAATTTTAGCGTTGAAAGCATCGATAACTTGCTGGCACTTCTCCCGTGACTCCATGCGTGCGAAGCCCACTCCACGGCTCAACCCATCAGGTTTCCGCAATATTCTTGTGGATATCACTGTACCGTAGTCTTTAAACATATTTTCTAAATTTTTCTCGGTGAAGTATATAGGGAGATTAGCTATATACAGATTAGTTGGATCTTGTTCTTGTTGCTGAAAAGGAAAAGAAAATCTTAAGTATTACACAAAACAAGACATCAGTCAATACAGGCCTTTCAGTGTTATATTAATATTTTGAATCCACTTAACTGGGACAGCTGTTACAAACATTAACATTTTAGACCAAATAGTCTGCATGCTTATGTAATATACAAATGTTGAGCTGTTCCATGATTTTGAAGAAAAAAAATGGGGGGTGGGGGTGGGGGGAGAGAGGAGGGGGAATAGCCAAAACCATTTCAGGAGTACTCAGTGATGTTTTTCTGTTGCTTGCCTTTTCCAAAAACATATATTATACTTAATGATTTTTGTATTCATTTTTTTCAAAAAAGATTTTATTTGAATAAAATGCCAACCATAAAATCAATGCCAGTAAGTATTGAATATTTCATACATATTTGGACAAATAAAACACACACAATGAAATTGTTGGCAGCAGCTGTTGTTATTCACTCTTCCATATGGGGAGTCAGTTAAACAATGTCCACAGTAACCATTCCATTACTGTTAGGAATGTTTTCAAACAAGCTTAGATTTCATAAACCCCGAACATCAAAATAAACATTTTGGATTTAAAAACACATTAAATGACAGCAAATGATGTGTTTAGATGTGAAATTGGCCATCGTCTCACATATTTACATTGACTGCTTCAAACTGATATGGAAATAGGGGAACAGTCTGAATGAATGTCGCCATTTTGACCTCCTACTATTCGATAAAGGGACCTAAATGTGCCATTCTGGAAACAACACAAGCAATGCCTTTGCAAGAATATTCTATTTGTTACAGACAAGTGAGCTATTTAGCTTAAACAAATCATCCATTTCTCTGTCGTCTAAAATAGAGCCCCACGAAATGATATCACCTAAAGAAAACATAGATTCCCAGAGGCTCCCCATGCTGTCTCAAGCACTGCGTGATAAATATATTTTTTTGTCATTTAGTCGTTGGGCTATGATGTTCGCTTTCCGGAATGCAAACCTGTGCTACACAATCTTGTTTATGGCCATACAAAGCTTCTATGTGTATGAATAATCTACACACTGCCCGAAAAGAATTTATTGTCAAACAATAGTTTGTCTTATATGCTACAAATGAGTCATCAGGAGTTAGTGGTTTCAAAGAACGATTTAGAACATTGTTGATATACCAGTCAGGTTTCAAATTTAAACATTGTTATCTGAGGCAAACCCTGTAAGATATTAACAGTTCTCTCTTCTTTTGTGTCCAGTTTATTTTCCTCCCAAAGGCAGAATCCCCCATGAGTGAGTGAGTATGGTTTTACGCCGCTTTTAGCAATATTCCAGCAATATCACGGCGGGGGACACCAGAAATGGGCTTCACACATTGTGCTCACATTGGGAATCGAACCTGTGTCCTCGGCGTGACGAGCAAAAGCTTTAACCACTAGGCTACCCAACCGCCCCGAATCCCCCATGACGAAAGTGTACATACATTCTCGACAAATATTATAGTCACATGATGGCTGATGTTTTGGTAAGTGTTTTATTGTTTTAAAACATGTACCAACATATATGTAAAAATAAGATGATAAAAGATTCATAACTGCATAATAAATTGTTGTGTAATCAGATAGGGAACTGGTCAAGAATATCTTCCTAACAACTAGCGAAAGCCTTCTACTGAGAAGACTTTCATACCAGAGTAATTACTCCGGCTTAAATTTCCTAAATTGCTCTACAGTTTAACAGATCCAAGATTACATTATGTATTGTGAAACTTTCTCAAAACCACCTTTGTTGGGGAAATTATGTAATTTCTCCAACCCTGTTGAGCGAGACGGCCATTACAGCAATAACAGCCTTATCTTATCACGAGAATGTTGGTGGGCTCTCAATGCAAAGGTGAAATGGCTTGACGCAGTTGGAGTGATTTTACGAACTCCCTTTAAAATCTGTTATCAATATGTGGCAGAACGCAGTAATCCGTCAAGACACAATAACAGCTAATTACGGCTTAAGATTTTGTCAGTATTTTGGAGCGATTAGATAGGGTTTCTGGCAATCCGCCAAGACTGAAGAATAATCGTCCCACCCTGGTGTGGTATAATCGCTCTGAAAGAAGCCTGTTGTGTCATGTCCAGTTCATGACAAGAGGAGCTATATTTCATATCGCACGCCATCAACAAAGTCTTCAAGTATATCACACAGTGTTGACACGGCCTCACATGATCCCCTCGTTTCATTGGTCACATACATCTGTTGTATGAGGACCATATATTGCCCACACCCCTGCAAGACAACATAGGCCTTAATTCCTCTAACAACTCTGTTCCTCCTGGTTATAAATATACCTCTGTATGAAGCCTAAAGTCATCTTTCAATTAAACTGACAGTTTGAGGGAAGCCAGGAGAATAGTTTCTGGTTTTAAATGAAACACTCCCGTCTCTGTGTGGCTTGTAGCCTTGAAATACCCTGATGATGCGATCCATACATGTTGATGGAAATGCTCAACCCATCAGATCAAGAGGTACCCAATTCACCAATATGCCAATGCACAATATTTGAGAGGAAAATATTGTTTTGCAGATACAAGGGAAGGATATATTTCTTTTAATAAAGCATGTTGTTTAAAAATTTATATGAATATCCGAATGAGTTGAAGAGGTGGGTGAGTGGTGGGTGGTCTGTTTCGATGGGTGGGTGGGTAGGTGAGTGAGTATGTCACTGGGTGGGTGATATGTTTGGTGAGGATCTCGGTTATTGACTTGCCTTTGGTGGGGCACAATACGCTCACCTTTTCGCGAACACCTGGTATCATCACTATTTGATAGTGATTCATAAACACGTGCTTATGATACAGTTGACATCATACAATGGACTTTGTATTTTAATGAGAGGTGTTACGATTATGGAAACAGTTTGTAACTTTTATCTAATGAGTGTGTGAGTTGGCAATTAGGTGAGTGAGAGAGACACCTAGGATAAGCTTCACTCATGCCAGTGTGGAGACTTGAACCCTGCAGGCTTGATGATCAAACACACCAACAACTGGCCCATGTAGCCCCTATCTGAATGGATCAAGCAGCCTATGTTGATTTTAACCTATTATCCAGAAAGAAGAGATCTCAGGAATGTTTTGCTATTGTGCTTATTCCCAAACACTGGGTTAATACGAAGACTTATCAGAATATCACATATCTCCCAAACCAGGATCAAAAGGTTCACAATGACTGCACAAAAGTCTTACAACTTTTCATATTTCTTTCATGCAAATTTGAAAAACGTTTACATAGTGCTGTTTTTGAGTGGGGACTGTCTCCCCGTAGGGATGGGCTGTCCCAACAAAGGAGTCCATGAGCTGCCAGTAGAGATAATTTCAATTATACATCATGACAGATAAGAGGAATGACTTTGACCTACTTAATTCCTCAGGTGTAAAACATTTACGAATTCTACATACCTTAAATTCTATCTGGCTTTATTCTATTGTAAGGCTGACAACCAAATGAATTAGCTATCTCAACAAAATATTTCACAGATTTGCTTTTACATTCTTATTTGTGACCTTATCGAAAGTTTCCGTTCCACTGACATAATCTGACATAAGATATTTGAAAAAGATAAGACATAGATTATGTCAATACGGGAACCAATTCACACATGTCCTGTCTGTCAAAGTTCTGACAAAACATGGCCAAGACCACATGAAATTATGATGTTGTAAAACCACATGTTGAATCTTAGCAGCTTATTATCTTTATAATTACACCTAACCTAAGGAATTATAGACCCAAACATGTCCCAAAGTTGTAAAACATCAACATGCTAAATAACAAATAAAAATAACAACACAACTTTTACAAAAGATATTATTCATTGAAGATATTCATTTCAATTTCAAACCCCCTTTTTTTATGAAAATGAAAATGAACAATACCATCAAAATGAATACATGTATGAAACTTAAAAACGCGTGTTGCATCGCCCTTCACATGTAGATATGCCCTAGGGCTTTCACAATCTTGTATACTACACAACAAAATTGGGTATTGAATCGCTGATGTTTCAAGCATTTGCTTGTATGCATGTTTAGCTAAGGCTTAAAGCGGATCCTGAACTGACTGAAGTAACAGGAAGATCGAAGCTTTTCTATTACCGTTTTTATTATGCTTTCAAATCTGAACAACTAAATAAAAATTCATTGATTACGACAGATCGGGTTTCAATGCCACTTGAATCCAACTGGCTGTGTATTCAGACTGTGTGTATACATACACCATGCCATACATGCTTCCCTGCCTGACCCACAGCTTCCTAGCATAGCTGCTATCAAAATGTCATATGAAATGAACTTCTAATATTCTCTCGAATAATATACCGCCTTCTTTTGAGCACAAAATGGGGCAGAGTTGCCCACATTTCTTGTTACGGCAGCCCGCACCCCGACTTGATCCTAAGAAACCTGGCCATTGTCCTGTTCTATACTTGATATAGAATACGCACCCTTGCACTAGTCATTCATCATATTCTTGTGTAAATAACACTCCAAGGCCTTAGTTTCTACACAACTCAGATTTGTAACGCAAATCTTACTTTCGCGATTATGAAGTGCTTCTTGGTGATAGATATTGCATTTACACATCTTTCATATTCGACCAGCAAACTAAAGCTTTGATCAGGCCATTGATTGTTGTTGGGTATTTGGAAGAAGCATCTTTGAAGTGACATTAACACTTCTTACTCCTATTCATTATAAGCGAGATATACCCCGTATTTGCCCGGTGTTAAATAACAAATAGGTTTGTCATACTAGTCGAGCGTTTGGTAAATATTTAGTTTGAAATTTGTATTGGGGAGCCTTTTTTCAAGAAATTATTTTTCGATTTCATAACTTGTGTCAATAGAAGCATAGCCCTAGAGCTTACAATGGTGGCCCTTAATGGACAGTGGAAACATTAACGTTTCAAGGCTGCATATTCTACAGCTCATACCACCTATACCAATACAAAGAAGCGACACGTACGAGGCAACTCTGTCCTCTTTGAAACTAGCAGATAAACACCAGACTCCATACAAAATAGACATCAAACTCAACGAAGTTCCAAGAAGCCTTAACTTCATATTTTCCTTTTGATAAAATAATATCTGAAAATTAGTAACAATGTATACAACATATCAAAGGCACCATCTAGGGTAAGTTTGAAATTTAGAACTTAATCACTAGAATTTTCATGAATCATTACATTAAACAACACATAATAAAGATATGCTTAGTGAAACAGCATCTGTATATACTCCATTTTAACAGTAACCCATATCAATCCCCGTCATATTTTGCAAAATACAGGTCAAAGCAAACCCAGAGCACTGGTAATTAATGTTTTTTATCATGCAAATAACACATTTTGAATAAACACTAAGGTCAAACTGTGAAAAAACAAAGACGCAACAGACTTGTATCAGGTGCTCTGGGAGATGAGATAGTTATCTACCCATTAGTCAAATCTAACTAGTACGCAGCCAGCTCGTTTCGAACTGGTGTTTTATATAAAATAATCAGACTTTGGCAGTAAACAAATACTCCCTGTGGATTTTCACTAGTCTTGGACCAATGGTCCAGTGGCCATTTCTATCCCTGTCAAGGCAAAGATCAAGAAAGCAATGTGCTGATATGAAATTTTAACTCACTCACTTGAGAAAATAATGAAAAACGTTATTTCATGCTATATTAAGAGCCCAATATACACCTCGTTACTCGTTACTTGTTACTTGGACCACTCCCCGGTCACTAGTGATCTGGTCAGTTGTGTCAGGATTCACATGGGAAAACAGAACTAATCCCCAAAGTTGGGAATAAATCTTCTACAGAGCCCTCTACTCAAGACATTTGTAGCAAATTATTTCTAAATTTGTTTTATTTTCCGGGTAATCCTGGACAACCACCAGATCACAATTAGCCCCATCTATTGTATTCCCATCCATTGTCGACTAATTCCCTCATTGGTGTCACACTCACCATAAAGACATTAATTAGTTTGTCAGAGTCCGGAATGGGTAAAGACACTTAACAGTAATGAGCTCTGAGCATTGCCCCGACAAGAAACACATTGCTAGATTAGGCAAATCCAGAAAAACAATAGCGTTTGCAGTACAACTAATTATTATTCATGACTCATATATGGTTGTCGTCTTGTTCACTTTGTCACAATGTTTGGTTACAACTGTACTTAGCATTGGCAAAACAATTCATTGAAGTCTAAATTGAATTTTGAAGTCAAGGAGATCAAGTTATTAAATTTTGGAATGCAAACATGTTCAATCTCTGACTGCAGCAAATGCTAGCCAATAAATGCAAGAAGATTATGAGATTACTTACAGAATCGAGTCGGTGCCAAATCTATTAAAAAATAGTTACATAGATTTTAAATAATGACTCATGAGGGCTAGATACAGAGGAAAGAAAAGTTTTTTTCTTCATGATTCTTAGAGGCATTGTAATGAATTTACAAGAAACATATTGGTGTTGTGACATGGGGGTGGGATGCAAGTACCCTACTTGTCACAAGAGCTAGCTAAAAAGAGCATCAGATGGTCACAATGTGCAACAATGTGCCTCATTGTGCCCAAGTGTGCCCCACTGACATTGAACAAGTCTCATGCAGTCAACTACCGGTTTGCACCAATTACAAGCCATAATGATGTGGTTTAATTATTGCAGAAGCATCACTCACTCATTCACAATAACACCATTATTCCATGTCTATGACAGAGTACACAAGAAACACATCATGAAAATAAAAGCAACACAACCCTTTCAATATTCATAAGAAATCTCTGCTAAAAGCAGAAAACAATGGTATGATTCTGACTAAATCCTGATCATGTGTTTATAAATCACTATCTAAAAGTGATGATACTAGGCGGTCATGAAAAGGTTTCCTGCCCCACCGGTAGCACCATCACAAACACATCCAAAGGCAAGTCAATTTTTCACCAGAGAAAAAGTGGGAACATATGCTACAAGTAAAGATAAGGAATTGCATCAGATATCATTTTTGGCATTGATACGTCAAATTTGGAAAAGCCTTCTGGTTGAATTGTCCTTCAGAGAGCACATGACTCTACTGAAATCACTATTTACTGGTATTGGTCTACAGTATTATCGGTATCATTAGTCAAACACAAGATCCCCTCATCATGTGTCTCAATATCAGTCAAAGGCATGCCAAAATGAATACCTGACTGCAGACTGAGTACTGCAGAATCAATTCTTCTTGTAACAATAGTTGTATGCAATTAGCATGTCCAGACAGATGACCTCCCTGTGATCTCCATAGCAAAAGATATTCTGTTGAATTCCTTATATTGTTTTCAAATATCATACAAGTGATTTGTGATCTTAACCAATGTTTGTTTATAGATCCAGGGTGAAATAGGAGTGATATTTTCTTTCCAATCTATGTATACCCGGTATCCCAAAGTTAGCATCAGTTGTACACCTAGCAGCATCCACATTTACTGTCCAGGATGCAACAGAACAAATAAAGTTTTATTCTTCTTCTACTTCATGATACTTAATAAACTAAACTAAGAAAGTATACATTTGAAAACTGGATTCGACAAAAACATTATAATTACAAGCGTTATCAAAACATTATAAGGCTGAAAACAATCGACAAAACACTGCAAACTATCACCATCAAATAACCATTTCTTGTTCTTTTCATTTTCAGCCACCAAACATGGGTGCATACTTTCTTTTGCCAGGCAGTTTAGTTAAATATATTGTTTGCAGGTGAATTTCTTCTCTTAAACTGAAATCTATCCAAATTCCATTGATTTTTAACCTGATAAGGCATACCAGCTGTTTTGGAACAACAAACTGTGTATCCTGTTCTTGCTTGGGGACAAATAAAAACATGGCTTTTGAAAGGGAAGACAATTAACAGATAAGTAAAGTATTTAAAACAAGTGCCCCTAATTGTGAAGGTCTAGGTCATCATTTGAACGTCTGTGACGATCTTTCTCGAAAAAGGTCAAAACTGCTGCCTATTTGCAAACCAATGTACTATATCATAAACCTTCAAAATATAAACTTATTGGCAGACATTTCAAAACTAACTTTCAGCCAACACTTATTTCTGCTACTGTTATGATTTGATAAATATATAGATGCCATCTTCACCAAGTTAAGTGTCCAGAACAAGTTCACAAAACACGGAGTAGACACATCACCCGTTATGTCTGACTGGCACTCTGTAGGTGGTGCTCTATATGTGTCATTAGTGTGCCTTCAACTGCCATTAGATATTTATACACCCAGTCCAAACACAATAAATCCATACAGACTTACACTTCTCCTATCAAAAATTGTCAGGGAGTTATATTTACGAGAAACCGTATTAGTGAGGGAACCCCCTGCCACTAAAACTAAAACTTCCTAGGTAACGACCTCTTTGATCCAAAATTGCCGAAACAGAAAAAGCAGGACTGCAGTGAATTAATCTGATAGCTGCCTTCTCCTAAATGATTTCTCTGAGATGTTCCTGTACTAGAAACAAGGGCTCAGTGTTCAGTAGATTCAGCACTCGTGTCATTATGGGGGGAAATGATCACAATCTGACACAGACTATATTCAACTTGTCGAAACCATGGCATGCATAAACAAGCAGCCATCTTGGATTCATTCTTGCAAAAGTTCCATCAAATTATCTTGGCAGCATATAAGTACTTATCTTCCAGATATCATAACCTTCAGATTCAAGTACAGAATTTTAACTGAAGTGAGGGTGAATGATATCCATTCAGACATAAGTCAGTCTCACTGAATCAGGTCCATATCACATGCCTCAATGCCCAATGCACCTCAAAATGTTGAGACGAAAGCAACAATTCCAACATTTTTTCACGAAGACATAAAAACTTGAAGAACTTTTTTTTACAACTATTGTTGGCTTAGGGCTACATCATGTACCATAGGAGGGTCAGGTAGCCTAGTGGTTAAAGCATTTGCTCATCACGCCGTAGAACCAGGTTCGATTCCCGACATGGGTACAATGTTTGAAGCCAATTTCTGGTGTCCCCCGCCGTGATATTGCTGGAATATTGCTTAAAGCAGCATAAAACCATACTCACTGACTCACTCATGAACCACAGTCACTCCTGTTCTTTCATTATTCATGGAGAGACAAGAAATAGCCCTCAAGAAATAACAAAAATTAACAAAGGTACAGTCCTTCTCCAACGTCTTGTCTTTGTCAAGTAACTTGGTCAATCGATTCTTAATAAATGTGAGTGAGTTGAGCCTGTGGTAATCACTAGATGAAGTGATGTATCCAACAACTGTGGAGCAGGATATGCTCACATTTTCACTAACACCTGGTGTCATCACTATTTGATAGTGATTCATAAACACATGCTTATTAGGGCTGGGACGAGTCCAAATTGACTACCCGGGTACCCACACCGCTATTACCCGACCCTACCCGGGTACCCGCTACAGGGCTCAAGAGTTTGGTACAAAATGTCCGACTGGAAATAGTTTGAATGTAGCCCTGGTAAAATGTATTTAAATATATGTATAAAACGATCTGGTCATGCATACATTGAAGTGTTATTTCTATTCAAACCTATAAAGGTCAGAAGGAATGGTGCTTAGGCTGAAAGAAATGTGAACATTAGTGACTTGTAGTGTAACCATAGAGTTCTAGATATTTTTTAACTAACCACGGGTACGGGTAGTCCTGTGGGTACCCGGGTCCTACTCAGTACCAACCCGACCCGAGTACCCGAGTTACCCGTCCCAGCCCTAATACTTATGATATAGTCGTACAATAGACTGCCCTTTGGTTGAGATTTCTTACAGCAATGGAAATGAATTGTCAATTTTATTTATTTGTGACAATCAAAAAATATATTTCATGCCTTTAATCATGATGTTTATCAAGTACTGATGTTCCAAAACTTGCTTTATTTTGAATGGATACATTTCTCTTATGTACTTCTATTCGTAATCAAATATCCATGAGTTACAGATCTTGGTGTGATATGGCAAATCCTCCCCCACCATTGTCCCATCCACTCTGGTGTCCACACTGTTATTTCTCTTAACAGTGGATAATAAACCATATCACAGGGAGATATTATCCCATTATTGCTGTCTGTTTCAGCCCTGCTGTTATATATCCCACTAATAGTAAATGGTCATAATATATACCACATATTGTCCACAATATGGAACACTGGACTTTGTCATCCATTCAAATTGCTTTCCATTGAATGATACCTCCTAAGATTTGATATGACAAATATTACACACTTTGCTATGTGTAGTATTGGGTGGGGTGATTATATAAGGTTTCAAATTGCTCCAAATTTAGATGCCAAGTGTGCCTGTAGTGTCAGGTCGTTTGTTGTATGGTATCATATGCAGCATTGGACACTAGTCCCAAGCCAAATCTAATTGAATATCTTTCGTCTTGTTAAATGCCTTCCATCTATTTCAATGTCTTTTGTCTAGTTAAGCCGCTACTTGGTCTAGTGGTAGAGCACCCCAGAGAGCGGAAGGTCGGGGTTTGATCTCCGGCCGCGTCATACCAAAAGGCGTTTTAAAAAATGGTACTTGTTGTTACCCTGTCTGGTGCTTGGCACTAAGGGCTTGAAACAAGGACTGATCAGTTCGGAGTCAGTATACTGTATCTCAGTGCGCTAGCACTATAAAATTGGCTTCAGTCCAGACTAGTACAAGCAGCCACACACACGTGCACGCATGTCGCAATATAAGTGTAATAATCTTGGATGCGACGTTAAACCCCATTTCACCTCACGTCGTCTCTAGCTAAATATCTTTCAGTATGGTAAGATCAGCTGATAGATTAAGTCCATCCATTAATGTTAAAATCTACCAAAAATAATGCCAAGATACAAATTTGGTCATGAAGACTGCTAATGACAGAAAAATACCACAGTATCGTTTGCCCTTCAGCAGTGTGTATGTCTCTGATTGTTATGTATGTTTTGAAAGCCTAAAAAAGATTTATCATATAATGTCTAATGTTAACGACGTGATAAATCAATCCGATATACGTGGTATCACAATCCGAAGAATGTACAAATGAGGTCGCCTTGCAGGAACTACTTTTAAGTTCCACACATCGATGCAATGCCGTCTTTATCAATTGACTATTGACTAACATTGACAATATACTTCGATAGGGATTGCCAATGTGTGGGTGATTCTGTAGCCAAACATGGCCGCAAGTCACCTGGCACTATATTATAAACTAGGCTGTTCACTCAAACATTCTATTTATACCCGTTTTCTGAAGCTACTTCATTGAGCGAAATTACGTCTTAAAGATCCATTATTTTTAGAATGACATCATATGATACATAGAT